ACGGCACAACATAAGAAACAAACTATATAAATCAGTTGAAAAGGGCTTAACTCATCAGATCAATTCAGAGCAGACAAACATCTAACAAAATACATCCCTCACAATAAAAAGACGCAAAGTACAGATCTGAGAGTACTCACAGTTACCGACAGCTAGTTCAAAGCCAATAACAATTATTTAAAAAAATCCAGTATCTAAGACTTATTTTGATTAAAAGTTACTTTTTTGTAATTAAAATTTAAAAAAATAAAATATAAAATGAGGAGATGTGGTAAAGTTCGCAATGAGACAACTATCCAACAGATTTAAAATGAAGAAGATTCAAGCATTTATAAGTGACTGTATAGCCTTCAACAATGAGTGAAATCCATAACCTTTGTTCAGCTATAAAATCCCCGACATGGCAAAATGGGGAACAATTCAAATTACAAACAATCTGCCTGATAATGACAAAACAATAAATCAATCTCATCAGATCAGAAAAAAACACAAAAACAACTAACATAAAGACAAAAGAAACAAAGTGCCCATCTAAAAGTACTCTAAAAGTTCCTTTAAATCTAAATTATCAACATATGAGGTGGAAGCATCTTTCAGTCATCAGAGTGTATGATAGTCTTATAACATATAACTATGTGCCATGAAAATGAAAAAATGAAAATATCATTTATTATATTTAATGAAAAGACATTAAAAAAAAATGCATTCATATGTTACATGAGTATCATCAGCTCAGTAGTCAGTACTTCGGTACTGACATGATTTATAACAAACCTTTCTGAAATTATCTGTTTATAAATTTTAAAATATAAAGAAACTAAGGTTTCAACTTCCTCAGGCAAAGTTGACCTGAGATGGATATGGCTATTTTTTAGGCCCTTTTTGGTAATATAGCTCTTCAACTGTAACAGTTCTTAAACATCCTTGGCTTTCAAATTTTCAACTTTTAACATTCCTGATGAAGGTAAATCAAGAAAAGCACTTCTGGCGCTTGAAATTTATAATGTGTTGTTTTAATTTTTTGCAGCACTAGGTCGATACCTCTGCTGGTGGACTATCAGTTACGGAGGGCATCATCAGCTCAGTAGTCAGTTCTTTGGTACTGACGTGATTAATAACAAACCTTTCTAAAATTGTCCGTTTATAAATTTTGAAATTATAAAGAAACTAAGGCTTCAACTCCCTCACACAGTTGACCATAGATGGATTTGGCTATATTTTAGGCCCTTTTTGGTAATATAGCACTTTACGCTTACAAAAATCGGAAATTCTGCATCACGCTTAGACCAAAAAGAGGCCCACTATAATTAAATGTTTTGAAAAGTTTCAATTTATAAATGGAAAACTTTGCTTTGGAAATGAAGACAGCTATTAGTGTTTTTGTGTTGTTTTCTTTTTAACGCATTCACAACAGTAATCAACAACAATGAAACCATTAAATCACTCAGTAATACACCTTTATTGCTATTTGTCCACCTTTACTGGACATCACAATAGAAAATGTCTAACTCCACAAAGGAAAAGTGATTGTTGTATGACGTCAATAATTCAAGTGTCACAGACTTTCGGGTCAGGTGTCGCAGATTCCCAAATATTGATAAGGTCTATAAGAAGTTAGGAAAGGTTAACTTGATTTGCCTGCTAATATTTTGAATAATCTGTTTTATCAATGCTTTAACCGGTTTACACATATACCTAGTGATTAGTATTGTACTAACTGATGTTACCCTCTGTAACCGGAGAGCATGATTCTACTTGCAAAATCGTATGTCTCCACCGGGACTCGAACCCGGGACCTCTGTGTTACAAGGCAGCGCGTATAACGACTGAGCTTAAGAAGTACTTCCTTAGCTCAACCGCTTACGGCTGACTAAGTATCTACTAATGAAGGGAAGCAATCCCGTCACACTTCCCCCACCTCAAGAGTCATTATACCATTATGACTCTCACACACATACCCTAGCTAGAAATCCTCTCTAACTACCATGGGTTTTTATTGTTGGGCGCCAATGTAACCAGAGAGCATGATTCTACTTGCAAAATCGCATGTCTCCACCGGGACTCGAACCCGGGACCTCTGTGTTACAAGGCAGCGCGTATACCGACTGAGCTAAAGAAGTACTTCCTTAGCTCAACCGCTTACGGCTGACTAAGTATCTACTAATGAAGGGAAGCAATCCCGTCACACCTCTTTAAATAAAATTCATATTATTATTATTATATTATTAAGGCTGTGCTTTGAATTAAAAATAAAACTAAGGTGATTATATCATATCAGAAGTCCATTACTAGACGAAGCGTGCAACCCGCTATATAGTAAGGCGATCACGTTGTCCCTGTACTTCCAACTGTGATTGAAACAGGATTTGAGCGAGATTGCTATTAATAGTAACAAAAATCAATGGCCAAATTTTTAGCGATGCATTCTGGGTACAGATAATTTATGCAAAACACCCTATAACTTAATTAGCACACTGTTGAAAATAATGTTTGACCATCGACGTGTTCATGAATAGCAGATCCTAGCATATTATATCAGTGTCATGAGTCATTATGATGGTTTTAATATTAAATGATAAATATGTTTGTATAATTTATCAATTTAAAACTACAATTATAACCGTAGAAAAATTGTCAGACGAAATAAACAGGCTCACTTCTAAATACAATAAACGTTTGGTTTTAGAGTTATTTGTGAAAAAATTGCCATTAAAAAGTTGGCAAGGAAAAATTAGGTCGGAGAATGTGTTTCCACATACAGTACAAGTTACATTGGATTAGGAATAAGTTTAATAGGAATAAACATTCTATTATATTTATTTTAGGAATATGTTACGAATTACAAATTTCAAGAAATAAGTTTTTTTTAAAAGTTACACAGGAATTCTGCATATATAACCATTTTTAGCAAAATTAACAAATTGTACTCTCAATTTCGAAAAAAAGAGGGGGGAATTTAATTGTATACCCTTTCTTCAATTTCGAATATCTTCGATCCTGCGTAACTGAGATCTTGACGGTAATACTACCTCGGATGACGGTGTGGATGAACAAAGGTTATCATTTCAGTCAGATATTGTTACATTTATCCGTTAAAATATATGTAAAAAATGCCGTTTACAACACGTGCGTTCGGCGTATAAATTTTATAGGTTAAAATTGAAGGACAAGTTGCGATCACAATCTTTGTAAACAAATTAATGAGTAATAAATATATATTCTTTATGTAAGTATACTTCAGACAGAAATATGACGAAGTCTTACTTCCAAAACCTATAGCTGTAGTTTAAATTGTTCAAATACTAAATCAATCTCAAGGGTTAAGTTGGGCTGTAAAGAAATAAAGTAATCTCTGGAATTGTCCGGTTCCAACAGTAAAACCCTTTCTTACAAGTGAGGGATGTATATATTAATAGCAGCCTGTCAGGTCGGATCAGGGACTTTAAATCCAGTACCTCCCGTATTCAGGATGAATGTTACGATCTCTGATGTTAAATATAACACTTGCGACAACTCTTTGATGGGATATGCATGATATATTTGCCACTGAACGTAAAGCTAGCAAAACACAATAAATCAAAACTTTAATCCGCATGATCTACAGATGTCTTCAGTCTTGTGAGTAATAAAACAAAAAAAAGGACTATTACACGTTGCAACACTGACTTACGTATACATCTTATGATGGCGAACGTAATGACGGACAGACAGGAGAAGAGTATGTCTCTTAATTTAAAATAGCTAAAAAACAAGAGACTTTTGCTATTCGAAATTGTTTCGCAGTAATCTGAAGCAACAAATGGTCGGATATTTTTGACAAATGTATTTCGGTTAAAGCGAAGAAAAAAACCGTCTTTGTTTATTCATCACCGTATATAGCTTCCTTGACGCCGTAAGTAACCGAGACACAATTTGTCAACACAATGTTCTATTTAAAAAAAGAGGCAATTATGACTATATTTTGACAAAAACAACTATATCTTTGAAATAGACGATACATTTTTAGTCCGACAAGGCAGATTTTATAGTGCTCATTTGCCTTTGCGCGATGAAAAATGGTACCAATGTATTTGTTTATAAAATTTTATATCATTTTCTAAATGTTGAATTAAAATGAAGTTAAATAACTGGCAATAAGAAACCATTGCACTAAATCGGCTCACTTCATTTACAACAAACTGATAATTAATGAAACACTCAAGGAGACTAATTAACAGCTATCTGTTTGATAATAATATTTGTACCCATGATTCCATAGTTATAAAATGAAATTTAGGAGGACCACCTATGAGGGGCCTAATGGGGGGGGGGGGGGCTCATCACGATTCATGAGTTGATTTTTTTGTCAATCACGATTCACAGAAAATAAATTTCCATGATCACGAAAATATAAAAAGAGTATAAATCTGTAGAAAAACGGATCACGATAGCGAAAAATGCGCCGATCACGAAGAACGAAAATAACCCATCAGGCCCCTCACCTATGGGGCTTTCCACTGATAATGGGGACATCGCGATCGCCTTACTATATAGTACAGCTTGCACACTTCGTCTAGCAATGGACTTCTGATCATATTCATAAATGATTCAGATTGTGTAATTTATTGAGTGTCTCAATTATAAAAAAAATCACCGAAAGAAATTACTTTGAGCTCTATTTGGAATAAAAATATCTTTATGATTTATCTTGCAGCACTTGAAGAATTACCGTACAAATTTCTATTTTTATGTTGTTTTTTTTAAGTTTTTTTTGCTGTGATGACACATTTCTTATTTTATGTTTAGTTAGACATTGCTAGAACGTTTTCAACATGAATATCATATCATTAAGACATTCAACCATGGATATCATTTGTACAGTAAATATTTGATTCAAAACTATATTTCTTGCGTCTGAATTTCGTCTGCAAATCATTGGACTCCGAAGTAATATTTACTTCCGAATGGCGTCTGCAACCTGGTTACCGTCATTTTGAACTACTACATTCAATAGAGACAAATCAAATGGGAACAGATATAGGAAAACAAACAAGACTTTAGAAATATTTTGTTGAAACTTCACTAAGTATGACGTATGGTCTTTCATTGTGTGTTGTGACAGGTTTACAGTTTTATTAGTGATATACGAAATGCAAGCTTTAGTTTGCACATTTTACTGTCAATACTCGGTACTTCTTTGACAGTTCAGCAAGACTTTTGTATATGGCCCCACAGTCTGGCACAGATGAGAGATTACCCCTGATTGGCCTGAAACAAGAATCCGATCCGTTTGCCCAAAATCACATTCACTTCCATTCAAGTTCGTCCCTTTTACGTTCGCACCCCACACGTTCACACCTTGGGTCATATTATTGCACATTTGCATCATTTTAGGCTTTTTTAAGGTTAATTATGTTTAAGGTTTGAATATTTTTTAAATCATGCTTTATCATTGTATTGGCTATTGCTATAAAATAAAGATAATAAGTTTTTTTATTGTTTAAAAATAAAGTGACTTTCTAAAATGAAATCCGGTTTTGTTTTGTCTGGGAACAGTATAACTATACAAGTCAATATATATGTTCCTGGTTTTGTCAAGGACATATATAAGATGTTAGTTATACGTCCTAAGTTTTGTGAAATATTTGGACGAAATGAGTAAGGAATACAATATTGTCATGATGATCAAAGGCCAAGTAATTCGTCTCTAAGATTTGTAAAAGAAAGGCGGAAGATACCAAATGGCTATCAAACTAGTCACAATGACATCATTACGACAACAACGAATAAAACAAAAACCAAGCTACAAAGCACATGTTTATAAGGTGCATTACCATGAAGGTCTGAATTGGGTTTATAGAATAGAGAATAGTTGACCAATGCAACAGAAAAATCGGTCCAAAAATTAAAAATAGAGAAATAGAGAAAAATAGGCCAAAACAAAAGTGCAAGCGTGTAGGGTCCGAACTAACCCAGGGGGCAAACGTGTGGGATGCAAATGTGTTTTGGGAGTGAATGGACCCAATACCCTGAAATAATACAGGTGTTTACATAATTTTCGGGAAATATGTTTGCAATTTTTATTTCACAGGTTTTTGTTCTTGATGGTGATGATGATGATGGCTGGATGTAAATGAATACATATATTTTAGAACAAGAACGTTCAAATCCTAATGATGTCTGTCGTCGTCTGTAAACTTTTACAAAAATCTTCTCTTCTGAAACTACTGGGCCAAATTTAAACCATATTTGTAGTCCAAATAATTATAAAACAACCTTTCAATACCATCATTGTCATGAAAATTGTTTGGACTGGTATTGTAAAAATAATTGTATAAAGTTCGAGATTGCATGTTCGTTACGTAAGTGCGTCACTGTTTGTGATGTCCTGTGGTGTCTGTCGTTGATGGAAGATGATTGTTGTTGTTCTGCGGTTTGCATGTTGTGTCGACTATAATATTATTTGTTTGTGCTTTTCTCTGTGATGAGAGTTCTTGCATGTGTTTTTGCTGTATTACTGTCACATAGTGTTGTCATTTTAGCGATATCTTTTAACATTATCATACAAGCGGGAGGTTTGGCTAGCCATAAAACCAGGTTCAACCCACCAATTTTTCTTAAAATGTCCTGTACCAAGTCAGGAATAAGGCAGTTGTTATCAAATAGTTCGTTTCTATGTATGTTGGCGTTTGTTTTTGTTGCACTTCAGTGTTCCTGTTGTTCCTTTGTTTTCCTCTTATAGTTGATGTGTTTCCCTTGGTTTTAGGTTTTTAACTCGGATTTGTTTTCTCTCAATCGATTTATGACTTTAGAACACCGGTATACTACTGTTGCCTTTATTACCCAAACTTGGCCACAATCATCATTGGGGTATCTAGTTTTAAAAATGTGTCCGATTATTATTTTGAAAACGGATATAAATAGAGAAATTCTAACATGAGCAAAAATGTTCAAAATGACAAATTCTACCTATCGTCCATTTATCGGACTCGTTATTGGAGTTATTGCCCTTTAATCATATTTTTTAAACATTTTTTTGCACTTTTTTCCATTTATCATGAAAACTTCAAATAGATAGATGGAAACTTTAGAAATGAAAAATTGTCAGCAGGATAAGGTCTACAAATATGTCAACATGACTGAAATTGTCAGTTAACTCTTGATAGAGTTGTTCCCATTTAATGATGATTTTTACTAAAAAGTGGCCATAGTTGAAGATGCAGGTGAGCGACACAGGCTCTTTAGAGCTCTAGTTTATTCAGCCTACAATAGTAAGTTGGGGGAGGGGGGGCATTATGATAATCCATCTGCTCTCTTCTGTCTGTTTTGTTTGTCCTTTTTGTATTGGTAAAATTTTTGGTTTAAGGTAGGTTTAAGTTTTGGTTTACCTTGAAGTTATGATGATGCAAACTTGAAACTTTGTACACACATGTTCATTTTTATATTAAAATTCCAGATTTATACCAATTTTACCCAGATTTTTATGGTCCACTGAATATTGAAATGTGGTAGTGCAAGCAGATTGTTGTCCTTTTGACACACATTCTTGTTGTTTTTAGCACAATGATTGAAAAATCAACTAAGAGACTTTAAGGAGTTTTAATGGTTCTCCAAAAGTAAAAAAAAGGGCATCTCTTCTATTCTGTATCTTGCAGTGACTGAAACGATATGTCTACCTATAAAATGAGACGTACACATATGACATTTTGGTTTATTTTGATTCCATACAATTCTTTGATTTTAAGCACAGGAATAAAGATTATCATGTATAGCCAAAATCCATGCAAGACATCCAGATATTAGATTGACAGTTATGTTAAGATAGCATTAATCATCCTCTCATTGACAAACTGATGTGTCAAAATCCTATTTTATACAATTATGCTGCATGATTATGGATAAAAGCTGCTGTTAAAGGTCTTTTATTTATCAATAACAGCTTTTATATTGAACCAGCAATAGTTTTCTTAGATGTCGTATGAGGAAGTCAATTTAAGGTTAATTTACCGTCTGATTATAGTGCTGTATCAATTTTTTCAACATCAATTTTATTGTTTTTTTCTTCATGGGATTAGAGCGAAATCATTTATGGAATTGTTAGCTCTCTTTTTTACAGATCCATTTGAAATATGAGTCAGAGTGAAATAACCGAGGACATGCCAAGTCAAGCAAGTGACACAAGTGACATTCGAACACTGAAGGTTTATAAAAGAGAGGCTTATAAAAGGTTGGTATTAACTATAGGTACATGTAGTATTGCAATTGAATCATAGTGCTTTTAACAAATATGTATATTAACAAATTTACCTAGACTTGATAGAACGTTCACTGTAAAGCTTAATCATGTCTTTTGAAAGACATTGCAATATAATGACCCATTGTATTAACTACTGTTGGTGAATTTTAACTTGTGATAATGATTTTCACTTATTTTATAGAATTTTTTTTTTTTCTCCATTCAAGAAAGTAAATTTTGAAAAATTGTTTCACCCTCAGCAGAAATTTATGTAGCTTGCTCCGATTTATGATAAGCATAGTTATAATACCACCAAACAATAGTATATCTCACATCTGGTTTCATATGAAAAAGGATAAAAAAAAATATTCCCTTATATTTGACAGTAAAGAAACCCTGCATTTCATTGCAGAAAAAAATTGTGAGTCATAAACATATATCTTGGATGTTTCAAAGCACCATTCTTTTTTTATTTGGTGTTTCTATAAAAAATTTGGAAACTTGAGGTAACATGGTTACTAAAGCTTGTAAACAGGAAAATAAGGGGTGAAAATTGGATTGGTTAATTTCTGGTGATGGTTATTATCTTATATGCAATGAAATGTTATGTGAATTTTTGACTGTAGTACTGGATAGGATAAAACTTTACTCATGCCAAGTATTTCTTCATTTGAAAAAAAAAAAGAAATTCTGCACAATTTTTGGAAAAAAAATGCAAATTTAACAAAGCTTAATAGGGGAAAAACAATGGTTGTATTACTCCTTAATGGCATCTTTTAGAGTATTTTTCGGAAGAGGGTGTATATAGTGATGCACATGCCCATCTGTCTGTCCATAGTTAGTCTCGTTTATGGATAAAAAATGAAAGTATCCCTAGACCAAATCTTTTGAAATTTCAATATTTTATAAATACATGTATATGTATTACAAACATTGAAAATATTCAATCAGTTCTTTAAGATTTCATTTTCATTTATCATGATGATGCTGGATATATTTCATTATAAAATTAAATTTTTTACCAATTCATTTTTTCTTTGTGAGAAATTGAAGTATACTAAATAATAATAATAATAATAATTCTTTATCTAAAGAGGGTTACACAGTTAGCTATAAAACTAATCTTCCCTGAGGCCCTCATGAAATACAATGAAATAAAACAAACAATTACAAAATATCAAACAAACACACATATATGAAAAAATGATAAACACAAATAATTGCATCTAATCTATATGCTTGTAATGTTAGTTCCAATCTAGTACAATATTGAAAATCATACTTTTAACAATAAATGCAGTGCATATTTACCCTGTCACAGTAATTTATATGACTTTGTTTTGAAGATCAAATGCACATCGTGATCATTTGTCTGCAGAAATATAATTGAAGGTTGAAATAAAAACAATAAATTTGGTTTCTTTCATTTTCTACTCAGCAACAAAAATATTAAATTATTGATTTTTGTCTCAGATTAGATCTCACTTTGATTAGTTATACTGTTATGAAGGAAAACAGTGTAACAGAGGCCCCTGAAGATGCAATGTCATGTGTTCAGGTGAAAATTTCTATCTTTTAGCGTTTCACAATGTTTATCTTACTCCTCATCCTTTCACAGGACACATTGTTTTTGGTTTGTGTATATTAATATTTGTCAGGTTCTATCGACATCTCTGTCCATCACTTGTCCTGAACATGCATGAAATATTTGCCACTGGACTTTAAGCAACCAACAATCAATCAATCTGTCCATCACAGTGTTGTATGCTTATTTTTTACAACCAAAACCATACATGTGCAAAGGATCACTTTACTTCTATTTGTATTTTTTCATGAGCTGGAATTCAGGTAAATGTGAGATAAAGTCACCTGAGAAATGTTATTTTCAATACTTGTTTAAATACAGCTAGGTAAAATTCAAATTGAACAAGCAGGTTGCAAGAAATTTTATGAAAATATATTAAGTTTTCTTTATAAAAATATATGATGTGGTATGATTGGCAATGAGACAACTATCCACCAAAGTTCAAATGAAGTGGATGTTAGCAATTATAGGCCACCGTACGGCCTTCAACAATGAGAAAAACCTGTATAGTTGGCTATGAAAGACCCCAACATGAAAAATATGAAACAATTCAATTGAGAAAACTAATGGCCTAATTTATAACAAAAGAATTTACGAAAAACAAATATGACAGAGACATGAACCAATGACAACCACTGAACCACAGGCTCCTGACTTGTGACAGGCAAATAAAGAATTTGGCGGGGTTAAACATGTTTGTCAGCACTCACCCCTCCCCCTAACCTGGGACAGTGGTGTAACAGCACGACATAAGAACAAACAATGAAAATTAGTTGAAAACGGTTTATAAGGCTTATCAGAGTGTAAAAATGAAACTAACACTGAAAATACTTGTTTGTGTGTTAGTGTAAATTTTCTAGGAAAAATATATAAAAATACGAAGATGTGGTTTGATAGTTCATTTCTAGATTTAGATTGCCTTAAGGATTGACTTGAGTATAGAAAAATCATTCGATATGGTCACCTGTACTTTTATTCAGATGTAAGATCCATGCTGTGGGTGTGCCCATTTGGCTGTACAGGATTCCTATATAGTCAAATGCTGGATGTATAAACATTTTGCCACATTTGGTCAGAATAAGTGGTGATAAATCTGATACCTCATGTTCGGAGAATGTCATGCTCTCTGCACATAAAAGGAACCTTGTTATAACACTTTTTTGGGTACATAGGTGAACCATTTGAAGGCATTATTTCTACCTTTATCAAACATATCCTCCTTTTCTAGTGGTAATTCAAATTTCCAATCTTTTATCTTTGCAGATCTTATCTAATTGATTTGTTCCAAACTATAAAAGACAACAATAGATTTGTTGTTTAGTTGTTTTATGTCTGAATTTGCATGAAATATATGCCACTGAACATTAGCAACCAATCAGAATAATTTTAGATTTCTTGATAGTATCTTACACATGAATAAAAGAAGAAATAGATGCCAATGAGATTAAGTGTTAAACCCATCAACAATAAAAACCAAAAGAGATCTAAAGATCAACATAAAACATGCAGTCATAAAAATTTGAGAACAATTATTGTACTCAGACTTTCAAATCAACCAATCGAAAACTGGATTTGGTGTTTAGATCACAAATTTTGTACTTGAGTACTGAGTAAAGTTTTATGACTAGCAGCCAAGATCTTCAGCTTTATACAAAAGAATTCTTCGATATAGTACTGTTTGTTATTGATTCGATTGTCCTTTTGTTTTGTTATCTTTTATACATATATATATATATCTGTTTATAAATCTGCTGTATATTTATTATAAATTATAATTTTTTTTGTGATATTTCTCCCAAGAATATAAGTAGGAAATGCATTGATTCCGTTGCATCTGATAAGTAGGAATTTGGTTGGATGTACACGAGACAATAATTTTTTGAAAAACCAAGATATATCCATAATCTAAGGAAAAGTACTTTTATTGGCGTTCTTCATTCTGACAGTTGCTTGAATGTCTTCAACTATGAGGGGAAATACACATAGCTTACAATACAACCAAGAACTACACAATCATTTCGGATGATTTGGAAGTTAATTATATGGGATAAATTGATCTCCAAATCATGTCAATCATACTGCTGAAAAACTTGTAAATTGATTTGAGACTGTATTATATATGTTGTGCAATATACTTTTTGTATTTAGGGGAACAGTTTTTTCAACTGTTTGATCCCTTAAAAGCAGAACCCTTTATGAAACACACAATTTTTTAAATTGATATAAAACAAAGTCAATACATGCCAAACGATGGTTGTTTGTTAGTGGCATTCTACAAGAAAACACTCACCACAATGAAATTGTTAGTATGTGCAGAAAAAGGCATTGAATATTGTGAAACCGACAAACAGATTATGCATGGCAAGCCGTTTTACTATTTATTCTAACTTCAAGATATCTCATATAATATAAATGTATAAGATATCTTATGTACTTTATAAGATTTCTCGTATATTTCATAAGATATCTTATATAGTTTATAAGATACCTCATATACTTTATAAGATATCTCATATAATTGATAAGATAACTTATAAACTATATGAGATATCTTATAAAGTTTATTAGATATCTTGAAGTTAGAATAAATAGTAAAATGGCTTGCCATATATATATAATATCAGTCTTACAATATCACAAACGTAATGAAATACATCAATAAAAACGATTTGTCAATTTGTCAATTTGTCAATTTTATGCTATACCTATTTACACTGTTTTCCCCAATGTTTTCTGGATTTAAAACAGCACTTTTCCTTAAATAAATTGCACCACATATATTAGTTACTAAATCTATTCAGATAGCAACAGGGTAGAAGATATTGCACCATGGTAACAGGTGCTATAAGGATCTCAGGAGAATACTTAACCTATTTAAGTTTATCATATTTGATGAATTTGAAACATAAATACGTTGTTGTGTACAATTGAATATACATGTTATAAAATGCTTTCAGGCAGAATACAACCAATTTTTAAGTTGAAAGCATTGATATTTGTTGAACATTGATTTTTAGGTTTGGGAGGGACAGTGACTACAATAATATTTTATTACATTCTTTTTATCTTGTACCTTTGCTTTAAATCGTGATATAATGCACATATCTCCACTAATAGGGTGTATGCAATTGACTCCAATAGAAGGTTTATTCAGAGGTGAATTTTAAATTTGAGACAGAAATTATTTAAACAGATTATTAAAGATTTAATTACTTTAATGGATTAAATATTGTTCAAAAATACCATGTTGGCCCTCACCTGAAACAATACATTAATCTTTAGTTAAAAAAAATCTTTAGAATGTCATAAATCCTTTGGTTCCCCCTTCACTACGAAATGTCAAATGAGGTTTACAGGGAATAATAACTGATTGAAAGTGTCTGTTCTTCAAGATTTACTTCAAAGAATTAGTGAAAATTGACAAAATTGTTCAAAATTACATGCAATTTTGTTGCTGCAGATTTGCGTTAGCATTGAATAAAAGGAACAAAAATATCGACTACAAAATCTGATTGTCAATATCAGGTGCTGGAACAGCTGTAGATCAGAACAGTGATAGCAGAAATGTCACCTTAAAACAATTAATATAACTGAGCAAATATAGGCATACTGTGAAAATGATTTTCATATTACATCAGATGATCTAATGGAATAAACTTGATTATTCGACACAGAACGTTACAATATTTGATAACTAGATATTAAAAAAGTATGTCGCACATGTATGATCGCAGAGTTTCTCATGCACATGTAAATCCTTTTTACAGAGTGTTTGTCAACAGAGGATTATTACTGGATACAGTGAAGTTTTATGGCTTTGACATGGATTACACAATAGCAGGTAAAAGTCTACCAATCAAAGACAAGTATTCTTCCTTCAATGGTTTTTATGTGTAATATCAGGTAAGACCTCTCATCCATAACGTTGACTGGATAAAAAATATCAAAATCTTCCAACATGCACTTTTCTGAATGTCCCTGTCACTCCTTGGCATCAATATGGAAATATTTCCATCAAGATAAAGTCAATCGCTTCAGAGAGTATGTGGCACTGACCTGTTCTGAAGAAAAGAAATGCTTTTTATCGTTTTCAAGATAAGAAAACTTCTCAAAACAATGAGTTTGTTGTCTCATGTCAAGCCATGACCACTTATCTGTTCTTTTAAAAAAGTAGGTCCTTTAAGCCTCTCAACATGATTGTCTGGATGATATGCATCAATGCAATTTTGAATCTTTTTTTCAAGAAGGATGCTGCAAGTATAACTGTGCCTGATTTCAAATTAGCCTATCATAAAGCAATATCGGTACATGTATATTCCACCTTGTTGCTTAAATAAGTTCATGTATAAAGATAATAGGGAAAAAACATCTAGTAGTGGTCTTCTTTGCTGATTTTCTAATCAGAGCTTCCTTGATGGTATAATTTTTAATGAGTCTGAAAAGAAGCTAGATGAAAAAGGGTAATTGAGGATTAATTCATGCTACAAGATTTCTACATCTAAATAAACTCATCATAGATACCAGAATTGAAATTTTCTATTTGCGCCAGACACACGTTTCTAAAGCAAAGCTCTTTTATAGCAAATTTTATCCAAAGTAATCTATGATAAGTTATTCTGAGCCCAATTACCAGTACATCTTTAAAAAAGAAACAGCCTTGATTGCAATAGTAAGTTCCAGCATTTGCATCATTAATGCAATCAAGGAAAGGTACTTGCTAAATAAGTACTGATTATTTCATTGCACATTTTACCATATGATACAACAGTTTACCTATATTTCTAAAAGGGCATAGACAATTTATAAAATTATGATGCTATAAAAATTCCTTCAGGTAGTAGTTTACAATCCACTTTATTGCTTTGTTCATGTACCTTTTCATTTCCCAAATAAACTACTTTCTAATCTCTATAAAAATGTCCTAATTTCCTGTTTACACCAAGCTAAGTGGTGACAATTTTGGAATTAAATTGATTATGGGCAATAACTCAACAACTCTATAAGTAGATAGGTATTATATGATATCCGCCATCTCAATGACAAATGTTGAAAGCCTATTATTAATCAGGTACCTTGTAACTTTATTTACAGGTAAATTTCTCAGGTAGTAAAAAAGGCGGGAAACCCAGGTGTTACATTTAATATAAATACACTAAAAATGCTATAATTTATTCTAAATCTCTTCGGGTCATTTGTTTTGACCCAGATTTCAATTGAAAAAATGGTATACAATTACCTCCCTGGTGTTTCAAGTGTAAACAAATAGAACAGTTGCAAAAGTACTTTGCATATATATACGTAATTGCACCTGCTTCTATTGTTAAATTTCAGTGTATTCTAAAGGCAGGATGTTGGTGTAATATGTCAGTACATGGCTGCAGTAAGGAAAATAAAGTTCTCATCTGACTTTTAAATATTGGTCTAATAAGCGTGCTTGTCTTGAGGATGACAGGGTGTTGCTCTAGTTTCTAGAGCTTCAATCCTTCCCATTACAGGAAAGCTGTAATTACATACCTAATATTGAAGTGTAAAAGCTATCACTGTTGCAAAATTTATTCTGAATTTTAGTGCATTTAATTGCACCTTTCTTCCGTGTTGTTTTTAAAATCTTGAATGACAAAAGAACGGATGTAGGGATGTTATTCCAGAATATTGTTAAATTTACTTCTTGTTTACATTCTTCTTAATGCTTTTTAAGGGGTCTTAGCAGATAAATTTCTCTGGCATAAATAGATGATATCTACTTAACTAGCTATAATGATTTGTGAATTTAAAACAGCAAGATATTACCATACAATATTTAATTGGCCTTAGTCAATAACTGGTCACTATGCATATAATCTTACATAGAAAACAATTTAACTGGTCTTCAATAACTGGTCAATAGACATAATAATCTTACATAGAAAACTATTTAAAACAACAATAAGAAGATGTGATATGATTGCCAATGAGATAGCTATCCACAAGAGACCAAATGAAGTAGATGTAAGCAGCTATATGTCACTGTACAGCTTTCAACTATTAGCCAAACCCATAATGCATAGCAAACTATAAAAGGCTCAGAAATGACAAAATGTAAAACAATTCAAACGAGGAAACAAATGGCCTGATTATTTACAGAACAATAAAATAAAAACAACAATGATAGATAGGAACCAACAACAACCACTGAACTACAGGCTTCCTACTTGGGACAGGCACATACAGAATGAGTTGAAATCATTTTCTCTGGAATCATAGGACCTTTCATGCTTGAATCCCCAAGGTTTGAGATTAGAGTGTCTTGCACCCTAACAAACATTTTTGACATGTTTCTGCCAAAAAACGATTTTTTTCTGATATTAGGAAGCCACCCCTGCATTTTTTTGGTAAAAAAGTAAGAGGATTATCATTAACCAAAGGGCAATAAAACCTATGCCGATAAGTAGAAGAAAGACGCACAACAACATGGTCAAAAGATTTAAAAGACAAAAAGACAACATTCTAAGAAAAATTAAAGATTACAAAAAATAACACAGCAAACTAAAGAATTGAGCAATTTAAAAAAAACTACACAGAAAACAGGAGATTGAGCAATTCACGATAAAAAGCTTTCCCTAAATCTAAAGATAGAGCATTCCACAAAAACTACACAGAAAACTAAACCCAGGGTGAACCCAGGTGCTCCAGAAGTTAAACATTTTTGCAAGATTCAGAGGACATTATCGTAAAAACTTATTAAGTCTCTCATCTGTGACTGTACTTTGACTATTATGGCCAACATAGACCTTTTAACAGCAATTTTAAAAATTAAAAAGGTTTTGATTATTTGAGCCAATTTTAGTTGGGGATGTTCTTTGAATAAACAATTTTCAATACAATAAATAATTTCCGTTGGCAGACTACTATAAATTCAGGATAGAGTATATCATAACCTTCTTCAGTTTAGAATAATTATTGGGCTGTTATATCATGACCTGACTGAATAGTTAACACCCTGTCATGTATTTACAAAAGAGGGGGAAATCTGGTTTTACTGAATTTTAAGTACTGTTAAGTCTTTGTGGCTATTTAAAAATGCCTATCTTTTGTTGTAGGTTATCAGATTTGAAATTACTTCTTTCTTTAAATCCTTATTGGGCTACAGTGATTCATCAAAATTTAAATTTATATTTACAATATTTTTTTTCCAATAATTAAAGTGTAGGTGTTCTTTTAATCTTTACTGTTATGTCGGAACAATATTTTCACACTTTACAGGAAGTCATTTCTTCGGAATCATCAGAGCAGAAAAAACAGCTCTCCATCGACAGATTATCTTTTGTGTATCTGTTTCGAAGCCTGTTTGAAATTTTATATTCTGTTTTGAAGTATTTGTTATTAGAAATATTATTAAATAACTTCACCTTGAACGATGCATTCAAATGTTTTGGTGCGTTTGATTAAAAGTAGCCATTAATTATCATTTTTACATCAACTTTTTACGTCTGTTATTTTTTGAAGATGCAATGATGTATTACAAAGACATCTATATTCAAATTGTAAAAGCTGGGAAAATTTTTTAATGTAGAAAAAAATAATGGTTTTTAAAAGCTGTTTTGATCAAGTAGTATAGCCTGGATTTTTCGCTATGATCTGTCATTTGAACACATTAACACGTCCAATGCCATAAATTTGTCATTAAGTAATTTTCTTATTGTATTTTCAGTAATAAATTGTAAACATTTAAAACACAGAATCACATTTACAGTTTATTTGCAATTTTCAAATAACTTAATATTAATAAATTTGAATTTAATTTAATTATTAATGTAGTTGTTTTTCAGGGTACTTTTTTAGAGCAAGTTTTTGTTTATATACTTGTTTATTTCCCCCTTCCATTAAATTCTTTTTAAAAACTAGTGGAAAATGATTAGGGATTTTTCCACTATAAAGTAAAAATACATTGATTGCAATACTATTATTATGATCCCGGAATATTTATGAACAGTAACATATAGCAGTCTGACAGACTTGAGTGGGAATCCTTACTTGTAGCATATATATTTTTGATAAGCCACAAGTAGTCCACATAATGTTAGTGGTAATTTGTGACTAGACCCAACACTCATAATTTATTAGTATTTTAAAGTATAGCTGTATTTGTAAGGGCCTAAAGAGATTTTCAGTAGCTATGAGTCAAGATACCGGATGTTCTTTTTACAAGAGCTATTATAGACTACGTTTTTAAGTACGAGAAGAATTGGGACAGAATTCAGATTTTCACCAATTCCAGATTTGGAACCAAGAAAAATAATGAAAATGATTTTCAGATGGCTATACATTAAGAAGGTTTCACCACAAGAGGAAAACCTTACAAAGTCTACTCTTTTCTTCTTTTACTGTGATGATTTCTTTAGAATTGCTTAATTACTAGTGTATCTGTACTCATTATGAGGCAGTGAAGTATTTAAGAAACAGGAAGTTATTTTTTAATGATGTGTTACATCGATAAAGAGTTTGGTGCCAACATCATCATCGTTTCTCAATTGGTTTGGTTTTTCAATTTGTGTTTGATTGTTTGTATATTTTTCCAGCATATAGACCAATATTTAGGTAATGCGTAACTTTTAAGCAGCCGAATGTCAATGGTTTTCTAATTAAGTGTAGCATATGTCTATTTGATGATTGGGGTTACATTATAGTTTGCTGGGATGGACAACTTCATCAGCATTAATTGATCTGTTTTTCACCAGCTGCCTTGGTTTTTCCTTCATAGTTCATAATGTTACGTTTTTTTATTTTATCATTATCAGAAGAGTTTTTATTTAACTTTGATCAAGAAATGGATTAGGGCTAAAGAGTTGAGATAATCAGGAT